AGTAATTACAAGTTTTAGTTTTTTTTTCTTTTCTTTTCTAATTTAGTATGGAATTATGTACGTACCCAAGAACATAGATGTCAGAGGATGTGTCAATCCAATCCTCCATATTCATATCTTCTTGTGGTTCCACCCCGCCAACATTCCATGTACTAACAAAAACCCTAGATGAAGAGAAAACAAAACCATACGTATGAGATGTATAAAAATACATTTTATGAAAAAAAAAGATACGTATTAATTGGAGTATTAATCATGGTGGACCAGGGAAATGAAATTTCGGGATCGAGTTGGTATATAAATACATACTTGTACTTGTGTGTGTTAGTGTCCTTGTGATGATTGACGACGGTAGAGGTAAGGTTTGAAGACGGTTGATCAACACTTGGTGTTTCCAGTATTAATTCCTCCGAGACCTCGTTGCTTGGAAAATCTGCTACAAAGTTGTTGCTTCCCAATTGCTTTCTCAGAATCTTGTTTGCCACTAATCTAGGCCACATCACCTGATCAAGGGAAACATAAATATTAATATTGTTATAAGCATTTTTATGCATGTATATATGTCTGTGCGTGTGTGTGTGTGTGTGTGTGTGTGTGTGTGTGTGTGTGTATACATACATGTATATAGATATGGAGGAGGAAAAATATCAACGGGATGCCTAAAAGGTAGAGACGAAGGTGCTCACTTCTCCTGGCTTTCTAGCCATGGACAGAGAGAAAGAGGGGAAGAGTTGAAGTATTTGATGCTAGAGAGGGAAGGAGAAAGGTCGGATAGACGATGATAAAACAGATAAAAATTAAAGAAATGCAGAGAGATAATCATGCATGCCGCACTGCAAGTTGGGGTGATTTGGAGGAGTTGCTCTTAACTAAAGCGACGTGGATGGTTTCAAGGATAGAAAATGCAGCAACCGTTAAAAAGAAGTGGCTGCATTGCTTGTATATATATATATATATTCGTTGAGAGTTCTCAAAAAAATATATATATATATATATATATTCGTTGAGAGAGAGGGAGAGAGAGAGAGAGTAAGGAGAAAACACGGGTCTCTGCAGGCATGAATTTTTTCTGTTTCCTTACGGCATAACTTGAAGGATATGATATGCTTTTACAGAATTGTTTAAGCAAGGGGTGCATGCAAGTGGGCGTGCTCCATCATCAACCACATTATATAAAAACAGATGAGCATCAGTATAAAAAAAAACCTAATTTTTTTTGTAACGTGTCAACCGCTTACAGGTGATCAAAATGTCCTTACGTCGTCGATGCCACCTCCTACTCCAACTCTGAAATTACCTTGCAGTCATCACTCTCTAGGCTCTATATTGGTTTCTCATCCCGATCATCTGGTTAAAACGGCCTTGCAGTCATCGCCCCCTCAATTCAAACACGTAAACCCCAAATCTCCACAAATACTGAGTTGTTTCCCTCGCGGCCCCCTCCTTCAGCCTCGATCTGCTCCGGCTCTTTCTCCTTCGGCCCGTCTGTTCAATTCCCAATCACAAACCCGCAACGCACCAAAGGTATAGCGCGGTTTAGTTATTTTCTTTTTATTTAATATAATTTTTAATTTAGTAGATGCCATTTTGTGTGATATTGGTTTGATATTAGGGTGATATTGGTTTTTTTTTTCTTTTGTCAAATATTGTTTTAATTTGTTTTCAGTTTTCTCGAGATATAAGGAGTATGTCTCTTTTTCTATTTTCTATTAGGGTTAGATTGCTTTCTTATTAGTTTCAGAATGAAGTCTTTATAAATACACCTTGTAACTTAATATAAAAGTTAAATCGTTATAAGATGCAGTCCTTTCGTTATATAGTCGTCTTGACCATATTGTGGTCTTATTCTTTATTGTAGTCAATAAAATTGGAATCGCAGTTTGTAATTAGTTTTTCTTCTTTTCTAGTCCTTTGTTGTGTTAACAGTTTGGCTGCTATTTAGTAGCCTTGGGGAGCAAGGCAGCATTTGTTTTGTTTGCTGCGGGTAAAAACTAATTGGATTGAATTATAATTTTTGAAGATATATATAATTTAATTTGCAAGATGTCAGATACATACTTTATATTTGTATCAAACTAGAAAAAAAAATTATATATATGTATGTATATATATTTCACATATAGACACTGAGAAGACACATCCAAAAATAGGGGCACTCAGTACTGTTGACTCTCTCATTGATAACACAAACATGTTTCCAAAAAGCTGATTTAATTAAAGGTACGGTCTGATGTATTCGGCTGGCTGGAATATCATATCAGGGATGGCCTCAGAGCATGCAATATGCAAGTCGTTTGTAGAATTGTAGTTCGAGTTTTTCCAGAGCCGCCGGCAGAAATTCACAAGTTGGTGTATAAACAAATTAAATGGATTTAAAATTAATGGTAAGTGACCATCGACCAGTATCTTAACCTAACATTGAAGTGTATACTATACTTTCCAATCACAATGCAACTTGTTCACAAGATTCCAATTTTAAATCATCCGGCAAAAACAGCAATTTTAACAACTCCAATCAAATAAAAAAATTGTATAGTTTAACACCACTAATTATATATACTCGTTAAACTATCATAATCAACCAATATCAATGGGTTCATAATTTACACACCATACGTATTTTTGGGATTTGATAGGCACTAATGACAGCCACAAGAAGCAAACCACCAATCCAATTTTCTTATTTGGATGGATGGCGTGCCCAATGTTTCCAATAAAAATGTCATCTTTTTGTCATATTGAAAAAAACACAATATTTTACGCTGTGTTTTTTCTGAATGTTTGTGTTTGTGTTCTTGTACCTCCGCGATTTTGTATTAATTAACATGATCTCCTAATGATACATATTAATTATTAGCATATGTGCTCATAGTTGTTATTTAGGGCATATATATTTGGTGAGATATTTGGGCAAATTGGGGCACAACAAGCTAGTCACGTCCGTTCGGCCCCATCCTAGTTAATATTAAGTGATGCAGGCTTAGCTTCACCTCATCAGCTTGAAATCAGCAAATTACAAGCACGTAACAATTACATATCATTGCGTCTTAGGGTTTTCCAATCTTTTCCTTGAAAACCAAACCATCAAAAATTAGTTAGCCCTTGAACCTCAAGTTTCTTTACACAAAATCCCACATATTTTTTTTGTCTGAATAAAACTTATTTACCAGGTTATGTATAAGCAAATTCATTAATTCTGTTTGACTTTCCACGTTTTTCATTTTTAGATGTCTAAAATATCCCTAATTACTTATTTGGTATCTACAATTCATTATATGGATATTATGTGTATTAATATCATGAATTATTTTTCAAACTATGCAAATTTAAAAGGCGAATTAATGATTTTGGGAAAAAAAAAATGGTATTAATGCTATTCATCAGAGCATAAAAAGGAAGACTACCCAATTTTTTTTATCCATTACTCTTGGTCTTCAACCTCTATTTATCTATTATAAACTTTTTTATCTATTATTTTCTTTGATAAATATAGGTAAATATGTAATATTTTATATTACTTTGTATTTCATTCATATTTTTCCATGAAATATATTGTAATAATGTTGTATGGAAAAGGTATCTAAGTTATTTTAGTTTACCTATTTGAATATTGGAAAAACAATATCCCCACTTACATACATAATAAGGAGTAGGTAAATATTTTCATTCCACGTCAGGATAATTTGTAGATACAAAAGCCAATTACACTTGGGTGTTATTGTACATTAATGTACCGACTGTTATGTTGTGACAACCTATCCTTAATTTTAAGATTTTATTAAATTCTAAAAGAGTGAATGGACGAAAACGCCTCTAGTGGTGAGATTGTTGACGTTCGTTGACCATCATTATGTGACTTGTATGAGCTATTATTTTACCATATTCTTGAAGTACTCGAAGGTACGAACATGTAGGCACAAGCGGAATTGAATTTGGAGTTACGATGGAGATTTTACGGACTTACAAACGTGAAGGGTGATTTGGTAATTTTAACATCTCGGGAGATAATTTTATGGTTTGTCCTTTTGTAGCCTTGGGCTATGTATCATGTGGGACCCACACCCCGTACTCCTCCTTCACTCCCATGTCTCCCTATTTCTGGAGCGCTCTTTATCTCTCCCTTATTTCAAGGGGTGTGATATCCACACACCCCATTTTACTTCTCACACACCTTTTTAATTTTCGGCCGTCGGATCAGATCAATTAGAGAAGATCAACGGACATAAATTAACAAAGGGTGTGTGAGAAGTAATTTGAGGTGTGTGGATAGCACACCCTTACTCTCTCCATTCTCTCTCATCTAACTCTCTATCTTTTCACTCTCTTTCTCTCTCTGTAAACACAGAGACCAGCCATCACCACCACACATCCGGTGAGCTTCACTAAACCACCACCTTAAGGCCACTACCTATCATCCTTTCCAAAACTCAAATTCAAGGGGATCAGACTCCTTCACATCTCATATGGACTCTTTACCTCTCTTACTCACTTTGTGCTCACTGTACAGAAGTAACCATGGCGATCGCCAACGCCCAGTTTCACGACCACCGTCGTCTTTGTCTCCAACCCACCACGAAAGCAGTACCATGTACAAACGCCCTGTTTGGGCATCCAAACCCTAAAAGTCACTACTAGAAATTTTGACTTTACCGACAAAAGTACTTTGTCGGCAAAAGTCAAAATTTGTTGGCAAAGAGTCTTCCCCAACAAAAAATTTTGTCGGTCATTTCGTCACGCAAAGCATGTCGGGTAAGAGTTTTCCCGACAAATTTTTGTGTTTCGTTGGCTAAGGTTCAATTTTTCCCAACAAACTAATTTTTGTCGGCATTTACATCTTTCCCGACAAATATTTCATCAGTACAGAGCTTTTATGCCGACAAATAATACTTTTTAGCCAACAAATTATGTTCATCATCATGGATATTTTGTCGGCACAGTCTTCTCTCCCGACAAAATTAGTGTCGTCGGGAAAGACATTTAATTTATATAAAAAAATAACGCTTTAATGCTCAACTATTATATATGCAAATCCAAATACAATACAAAAAAATTGTTAAGAAATAATACTTTATTGATTGATAAATTTCAAATGTACATCTAGAGTGCTTATACAAAAGCATGTCACACAATAAAATTATCCTACTGCCATTCCTTAAAGTCGGCTGCCATGTAGCATTATGCAAGAGCTTGTGTCATGAGGAAAGGGGCATTCCCAGCTTCATTTCCACGCAAGAAAATGAGCATTCCCAGATTTATATCAAATGGCCTTCAAAAATCCATTAGCACCAAATATGCAGGAGCTTGTGTCATGGGGCAAGATGAGAAGAATTTAGTGGCTTACTGAAGACCATGAGTTTGCGACCTCAAACCTTGGATGATATAGCACCATAGTAGAAAATGGGGAAGGGCTGCAATAACACCATAGTATTACAATAAACAATGAAAACTTAACCAATTTGTCAACAAGAAAGTATGTAGTTATATCTAATACTTTCCCATTACAAAGAGCCTAATCCCTTTCTAAGTTCATATTCCTCCAATCCCAATATACTTGAGACATTATATTGAATGTTAATTCACAAAGTCCTCCTTTACGATAGTCCAAATCGACATTACATTGAATGTTAACATTTAAAAGTTCAGTGCATGCCATATTTGGGTACTGCAAAACTAGGAAAAGTATTGACAAATAATTAGTTAATATCTATTACCTAATCAACCCGTAGAACAGTGCAGGCAGCATCTGCAGCATAATTGAGAGCAAAGAACCTGTAACAAACCACCCAACATAGAAGATTAATACCTATATCACATATGACAGAATCATTATGACAAGCTAGGGTCATAGTGTTTCTTAAACCAGAATCTAAGCAACATATAAACCTAGAATCTACAGAACCTACATGATTCCCTACACACAAATCCAAAGTACTAATGCAAGTAGAGGTTTGCCACAATATGCTGAAAGAAATAATTTCAAAAGTCAATTGCAACCTTACCTTTGTTCACATGTGAATAGGCATGTCATCACAACCTAGCAAAAAGGGAAAGCTGCTTAAACTGATTATGAATTCAGAAACTAGAAAATGAGTATTCCCAGTTTTAGACCAAACGGCCTTCACTGAAACCAACCCAAAGTTCAATAACCCCACATATGCAAACTCTAACATTTAAAAAGATTATATTACATTTAGCACAAACCAGAACACAAACTACAACATACTTTAAATAAGAATCCACCATCACAAGGCACTTGTAAGCATAAGAAGTTACATGGAGCGACTTCTGTTATCAAGCACATAGTTGCAATTAAGCACACCATCTTTGAGGGCATCAAACCTTCAAGCCCATTTCATTGCTCTAAAACATTTTGAGACCATTTTTCATGCTACTTCAGTTTCAATGTCAAGTACCATGAGCCTAATTTCAATTGATTACACAGAGGGATTGATTTTTGTGGTGCAAAGACTCACAATCAATTTTAACTATAAAACCATTACTGCAACTTGATTAAAGTCTCGCAGAAATTGAAGTTAAAAGCAATTAAATCCAGAACATGGATTACGCATCCTCAAACCCTAACTAAGGATCCTCCATCAAATCATTACCTAAAATCCCCTCAGAATTACATTGGAAAAACAAATCTAAGAAAGGAACCATAAAATTGAGACTAACAGAGAGCTGAGGGGAAGGATTAGAGTAGGTAGGGTTTGAGAACATACCCAAAACGTTTTAGAGAAACGAAGTGCAACGAAGCACCCAGTACTAGCGATTACGAAGCTAGAGTAGCAGGGGCACTTCAACGGCAACGGCAATAGAGAGTAGATGAAGCGATGACGATGGCGAGCCAAAAAACAATGTTGACGGAAAGCGAACGGTGGCACCGTGAGAGAGAGAGGGAGAGAGAGAAGGGGGCTGGGCTATCCGCATATAACAGGGTTTGTAGAAAATACATTGAATTTAGATTTAAGGGGGAAATTCTTTAAACTGAAAAATTGAGCGGGGAATCGAAAAGACAAAAAAAAAAAAAGAGCAGGAAAGAATAAATTCGCGCTCCTCTCTTGATGACGAACGGACATGTTTTTGCCAACTATTAGTTTATTTGTCGGCTTGAATGTTCTTTGCCAACAAACTTTTCATCGACATAGGTCTAAATGTTTAGAGCCGACGAATTAAATTTTTTGTCGGGCAAAGACTCTTGTGCTGACAAAATTTTACTTTATCGGCTTTAAGTTTGTCGGCAAAATAATATTTTCTTGTAGTGAGTCGAACTCGAAGCTCTCCGAGTATTTTTCCATCATCCTAGGTAAGGTAGGACTTGATATACTTTTAATCCTCTCCTTGTTGATGTTCTGAATGATTACTAGGTTGTTACGCGTGTCTTAATGGTGCATAAACCTCTCGAGGAAGGATTTCCTAGTTTTTTGGAAAACTATAGAACCGTGGTTGTCAAGCCATCTTTAGGCCATTTTTTCAGCCAACATCGACATTAACTCGGCCCCATTTTGGTATGGACTTGTTCTCTACATTTCTAGCTTCAATATGGCTTTTGAATCATCGAATTTGGTTGAGAATTAAGCTCGAAATGAGCTCTTAAAAACCTGCAAAGATCTGGAAATCACGATGAAGGCGTGTGGGTGCATGTGGCTGCCCATGTAGCCACCTTGTGGTGGCGCGTAGAGGAATTTGAGGTCCCTCCTTAGGTTTCTTGACGTGCCGAACCTGAATTCGTCGTCCGTTTTCTAAAATTTGTTCGTTTTAAAATAGATTCTTTACTAGCCATACTTTGTACCAAAAACGCGTTTATACGTTAGTACGTTATATATTTATGTAAATGGTTTCATTTCTAGGTGAAACGCATTGCAAGGATCTTCGATGCTCACAACTCGAGTTTGACTCGACAACATGATTTGTGAGTGGATCTTTGCTTTTTAATATTACATATTTATTTAGTTTCCACATATATATATATATCATAAAGAATTTTCCACATTACGCCTAGTTTAGACTAACGTTTTTAAGAATTAGCGTATTGACCTAATTTATGAAATTTTAATAAATTCTATGGGATGCACATTCACGGGATGCATATTTTGATTTGATGTCATAAATATATTTACCGTCGCAAATATTATTATTTACAACTGTGGATTACAAATTTTTTGTAGTATGATCATATTTACGTTATCTACTCATCGAGTGCTACACTGGTGTTTGTACTCGCCCGGGCTAGGGCCAGGCCTCACATGTATGTTCACATCACACCGTACGCTCACTTGGGATCCATTGTAGGTGTCAATCATGTCCTAAATTGCTATAGGCAATTAGGACTTGTATGTGATGCGCATAGCGCCAGTTTTCATGTGATTGTAGTACTAGAGCGTAAATCATTATTACACCTAGTCCAATTCATGTCAGAATATCTTTGCATGAACTCGTGTGTCAGCATATGTCGATGAGCACCCAATATGATATGTTTGTTATGCAGATATGATTACTTGACGTTATGTGTTTATTTACGAAATGTTGGACACTTTGCATTCCTGAGATAGTGCTGGCTTCGGTAAGTATTTTCATACTATACGTAATATATATATTTGGAAACTATACTTGTTTTACGGCGAGAGGTTATTATGTTTTCAAAAATGTTTTTACAAAGCTTTATTTTTAGGCTCACTCACCTTTGTTTTTTCGCCCCTCCAGAGTTAGTGGTAGAGCTTATGTGTCGATGAGAATTCTTGGCAAATCTTGGTATAGGTGATTACCTTCGATGGTATAATTCTTATCCTACCTCTACTGTACTTTACTTATGCTCTGCATCACGTGTGAATTGGGTTCAATCTTGCTCACATGAGCACTCTTATATTTAGGCACTTATAGGTTTAAATTTATTCACATTTCCACATCACTACATTTTATGGCTTCGTCATCTTCCTAGTGTTGGCCGCCAGCATAGCTCGATTCGGAGTCCAGATGAAAATTCCGGGTCGGAGTGTGTTATATGTTATAGATAAATTACCAAAAGTATGAGAATATAACAGGTAAATTACTCAAAAATATGAAAATATTAAAATATAGTACCGTTATTTGTATAAGTAAATTAGTAGGCAAGTTTAACCATTATACTTATGTAGAATAATTTAACATGAAAAAATGATGTATTTTTATTTTTATTTTGATAAGAATTTGATTCCATCGAACAGTAGTAAACGATGCAGCTATTATATATATATACGGTAATGCATTAGATTGTCGGAAAAATAAAACGTTAATTGGCTAACCTAGGCCCTGATAGGCCTAAGGGATTTTTTGAAATATAAAGTAGCCTAAAACATGTTATCTTATGAACCTTATAGAGGAATCGAATATGCACATATCGAACAGTTGGTTGGCTCTGAATTTGCCGTCTATCCAATACTTTGCGCATTTGAATGAATCACATAATTGAGATAGTTAATGGGATGAATAATATATTAATAATAATTGGGTAGAGAATAGATGTACGGCATATATATATATTATATCAAGATTAATCAAGATCAAGATGCAATTAATTTAACATACATGAGCCTGCAACTTGCCCCGGGGGGAGGAAACCTTGCAAATCAAATGAAAGCTAAAAAAAATGCCGCAGACTGTAAGATTATTGGTCGATGCTAAGTACTTTCTTGCTAAACAGAGTCTTTAAGTGATAACGTGGTGTCGGATAGCTAACCTTGAACGTTAATTTGTTCGACTTAAAGTTAACTTAACCTCACTTTCAACGTTACTTGATTGACTATGTTTACTTGATTTTGACCAATAATTAATTGTGGTAAATTTATTCATAGCTAACAAAAAAAGACGTCCACGAAATTGGATATCAAGTTTTTCATGCATACACGTTTTCTTTTTATTTTAGCTGTATTCTAATCTTTTTACTATATAAAGATACGTTGTTTATTTCAATGATACTCAATGCTGATTGGTTCATGTTTGTTTACTTTCCTTCTCACACAGTACGTCAACCTAAAGGAAGGAATATAAATATTTGTGCCCAGAAAATTAAATTGTTCGTGAATCATAACAGGGACTACCGTGATTTGTGATTCTTTGTGGAATATATGAGATATCATGACATATGTGACACTTGTACTGTTGACACACACCCAACTAGAACTCCAAATTATTAACACAAACGAAGACTTAAGGTTATCTTTTAAGTATTAATTATTGTAGATTTGACCTTATTCTCTTTTCTTTATGAATATCTATTCATCTTTTCTCAGTTTCTTTTCAGACGAAGAAAAAGAAACAACAACCACAAGTCGCTTTGAAAACTTTTTTTTTTCAAATTTGACTTAGGCCTAATGGTGGATATGCCATTCCTAAGCATATTATTCGTATTCGGACACAAACTATATATTAGTTCTTGTTCAGCCCACAAAATAATGGATTTATGTCTTCTTTTTTTTTGTTGGTCAATCACTCAATTTTCTGTCTTGGCCTTTACGTGACGAGGTTGCTTTTCTCGGTTCTTTGATATAAGGCCACAATGGGGTCAATGAGTGGGCTAATTCACACTTCAATGTATACACATCAGGCCCGTTTGATTTTTTTTAAGGGGAATAATGTTAAAAATGGAGAACTTTAACAAAAAGCTCCCGGTACTGTTTACTTTAACCAAAAATCATATTTTTACATTAAAAAGTCAATCATGATACTATTCACTTTACCTTTTATTTTTTCCTAATCGTTAAAACTCAAAGTTTTTAAACCTTTTTCATGAGTTTTCCTTTAAAAATATACTTCTCCTCACAAGCAATTTTAGCAGAAATGCATCTATTGTAAGCACTTTTTAATAAAAATGAAATACTTCTTGAAAAATAACTTAAAATCTAAAAGTTATATATTGTCAGAAACTCATTGGTGATCTAAAATACTTTTAATTTTTCAAAATCACTTCAAAACTTCCCGTATCAAGTCCAAATCGAAGGGAGAGGGAGACAAAAAAATGAATATATGATCTAATGGTATATATAAAAGGAAAAAGTCAATGAGTGCATTCAGTAAGTGGACTCGAAGAGAAAGGTTTAGGGTGGTTGTATGAATTACAGATGGACAAGTTTCCCTTTTTTCTTTTTGCTCAAAACTGGGACGAGTTTCTTTCTGATTCAACTTAATAACCTACAAAAAAGGAGTTGTATAAATTAAGCTGAAAAACTATGAACTAAGGGGGAGGTGGTGATCGTGAGCTGTGTACGTATCTTTAATGCTCAACTGATCTCTCTTCTTTTGCATTCGATTAGCTTAACCCTTAATATATATATATATATATATATATATATATATATGTTACGATCAGAAACAGAATAAAGAGAGAAAAGAAAAGGAAGAACGGCATCTGTGATTATACCACCGATGCCACCTGCGACCCGTGATGATGCTCTCCATACCGTGCCTTCAAAGGTGTGATCACAATTCCCTTATTTTTTTTCAACCCTTCGTTTTTCCCCCTTCTCTTGTCTATGCATGCATGCATATTTATGCGCACGTAAGTATTCTTGAAATTAATTTGTGCATAGTACTTGTTTTGATTGCTAAATTGATGATAGCTAATCAATCCTTATTATTGAACCGGTTTATGTGATGGATCTAATCTACTCCTACGTCATACCCGGCCCATCATTCTACGCCCAACCTCACCACTGGGCTAACCATAGTTGGCTTTCGATCAAGTGTCATTTCAACATAGCTAGAAACATGATCAGTTTTTTTTTTTTTTTAATTAATGGTGTTTCATTTAATTTTGTTTAAAGGATTTGGATGCGACACGGCAGCAGTAATCAACATTCTAGCACAGAGGAACGTAATGCAGAGCGCTGCCATCGAAAAGAAATTTTTGATAGTCACGATACAGTTGCTGGTAGTATATATTAGGGTGCGTTTGTTGCACCGGATTATATCGAAAATTGGTTTCAGGGACTAAGTTGGATTGGTTTGGCTTTGACTAAGCTAAATAAGAATTATGAAGCGTTTGGTGCAGCACTGAACAATAAAAATGTTCATTTTATTTATTATTAAATTAGTATTTTGTAGTTATTTCGATATCTAAACACCTAATTAATTCTAAAAAATATTGTTTGACCATTTATTAAGTTATCTTTTTAGTCAGCACGAGTCGGACTTAGCGTCATTTATACTAATCCTGTCTTACGCCAAACATGGGATTGCTATCCCAGCTAAGCCAGTCCC